CCGACTTGCGCTCCAAGCGCCCGCTGCTTTCTTGTCCCTTCTTTCCCCACCCCCCCCGGTGTGACCTCCCCGGCCACGAGATCTCCCTCTTGCCCCGACTTCCTCCCCCCCCTACCGTCTTTCCCCGAATAGAACGCACCCTTATCATGACTGTATGTGGCTGAAAAGATCGCTTGTATACATTCGAAATGAGGGTGCGTTGTATTCGGGGGAACCGGGTAGGCTATGAATTGTATCAGGGCCCTCGAGGATATCCGTTAAATATGGAACAATAATTTTGCAAAAATATAAAAAAATGGAACGATGCAGAGAAATAAGATTAGCAGCACCCCCCTCAAAAAAGAAATAATAAAAAAATAAAATGAAAAATTGAAAAAATAAAAAAATGTGTCAGGGAAAAGGATGTAAGGACCGCCGGCAAGGCTACATTGCGTTGTATTCGGGCGAACAGGGCAGGCTACGCTGCCTCGTTTTTTTTTGTTTTTCTTTTGACTTTTTGTTTTTCTTTTGACTTTTTGTTTTTCTTTTAACTCTTGATTACAAAGATCGGCGGCCGTGAACACGATTTTCCAGTCTTTTAATATGAATTCGTTTCACTGTAAGAAAAAAAAAAAAAAAAATTGCTCCATGAAGAAACATGGAATGGAAGTGTGACCCTATCCGATGATCACCGGCCAGAAAATAAAATAAAATTGATTGAAAATATTATTTAATCTAAGATTTAAAACAATTATTGCTTCCTTTTTCTTCCTTTGTTAAATTTGTTGCTCTCTGTTCCGTATGGTTGTGTATACTTTTAGTCGTATCTCTGCGGGTAAGAGTGGGGCAACGAATTCAGGGGTGGGGCCCACTGTTCTTGTGCTCCTGCTAAGTAATCATGAACCTGGTCTTCATTCGTGGCCAGATTCGTGCTAGCGAACCGCAAACAGAGCAGCCCAGCGAGGTCTAATGCTTAGCCTGCAGTCTTTCCTTTCTTTTCTTATTTGTTTTCCCCCTCTGAGCCTGCAGTCTACAATAGTGGCGCGCACTGTTGTTGTGAGTAATAAAATGAGCTGAGTTTCTTGAAAAACAATAATAATAATAAATAGTGGCGCAAATACAGGTTGGATGGAGTCGGACCCGTACAACAGCAAGAAGCCGAATTGTGGCCCCGTTCCAAAAATAGCCGCTCTGATCAAACTGCGGCCATTTCTATCCGTTTCATCATATTTTAGTTACCTGTCTCTAGGGTCTGTTTTTTTTTTTTGGGCGGAGGGCGGGGGTGGGGGGGGCGGGGGAATGTCTAGGGTCTTGTGGGCCCCACAGCTTCTCTGCACTCTCTATGGTCATTGGAATGGAAACCTCCTTCATGATCTTCTCTGTACTGTGTGCCCTGCGTTCGCCTTGCTCTCTCCCCCCCCTCTATTGAAGGCAGATCTATTTTTGTGAAAGCAGCGCTTCATCTCACTGATTCTCACACATACGCAAGTTTTGTACATCAAACACGACAACACACACATGTCAAAGGCAGTGCAGAGTAGCTTTTGTGTGTGTGTGTGTGGATTTGTCTGCGTGTGTGTGTGTGTGTGTGTGTGTGTGTGTGTGTGTGTGTGTGTGTGTG